CATTGTGTGTTTAAGGAGCCACTTTATTCCCATGGCTCCTGAAACACATTTAAGCTCACTTTGTAGGAAGCGAACGTAAATAATGAGATGGATCATAAAATTGAATTAATTGATTTTAAAAATCATTTGAAATCAGCAAATCTAAAGAAAACTTAGATAAATTTGTCCATGTTGGAAATATTTTTCTGAATTTGATAATGTGGATGTGTCATCCAAATCATTCATTGCATTTAAATAGAAAAGAAAGAAACAAAATATTTTTACACACATATTTATTTTCCACTTGATTTTATCTTTTTTATTCACTCCATGAATAATATACGTTCACGAAAATACGTTGTCTTTTTCAAAAATAGTCGTTCAAATTCAACAAGTCGTTCTACGAAGGTGCACTTAAGACTGTATAATGGCGTGTATTTAATTTGTACTTTATTCTGACAGCCCCGTTGTAATTGATGATGACAGTTCGGTTTCACCGCTCTGGTCAGACGCTTAGATGCAGGACCTTCGTTTGAAAATCGGAGACCCCCATCGAGCGATTTTGACTATTTTACACTAGATAGAATCGATTTTCAAAAACGAGGACCTTATTTTAGTAGGGGAGTGGGAGGCTATTCGGATCACTTTTTGAAAATCAGCCATATCGTCTTGAAAATGACCACGAATTGCCACAATTTATATATGGTTGGAAAGCTATTCTCTTAAGCTACCTTTAACATAAATAAACTTTTTGTGTTGGATGTCCTGGTAGTGAGATATGGGCCTATGTTTGGACGACCTTTATAAGAATGCACACCAAAACAGTATTTCCAAGAATTCGAGTTCATTTTCTGATATTTCAACAGTTTTATTGACACTTTTACACTATAGTTTTGATGCTAATACAAAGACAACACCAAATTCGAAATTTTGTGACGACGAAATATTTCGGCAAATGAGTTCAAAACACAACTTCGCCGATTTGCTGCACACAGTCCACTGAATGTATAATCATGTAGGTCGCCAAATATGCGGCTCACAACAACACACATTTAATGGCAGTTCTACGTGTCATGGTGTCTGTACCGTTTTGGAGATATGTAGAGTGATCCGGTTTGCCCCCTGATCCGAATAGCCCCTCTCTTCCCTACATTGTACAGTGCATTAGTGTATTAGACTACTTACATTTTTGCATTTTCTACTAATACTGATTTTACATGGATTTGTGATTCAAATTTGTTAACGGAATACATTCAAACCGAATGGGATCGGTTATCAGCTGTATATACGTCTATCTGATGATACGAAGTCGTATTCGAATGGTCACAGTGATGAGAATTTGAGTCACGAGTACACGTAAAGTAGATTATGGACAGAATTACAGAAACATATGAAGTATTCATTTGCGTATTACACTCGATTCTACGAGTTAATTAGCTGTACTTCTGTTTTGTCTCTTTTCTAAGCTACGATCTCACAAATGTCTATTATAATTTAAACAACAATTGATCTGAAAGCATATGTAATTTTGTATTTCTGTCGAAGTTTGATTATACTTTTCAAGCCAAACGAAAAAAAAGACAATAAATAAATCATTTTTTTAGTTTTGTGTAGCTAGTATGTGAGTTTGCCTTATCTTGCTCGTACGCATATGTAATCATTACGATGACTTATGTTTCTGTGTATTTGATTTATGCATTGATAATAATAAATCAAAGGGTAACCCAGTTCGTATTCACAATTTCGTTTGAGATCAGCTTACAGGTGACTCATGTCACTGTTGATTTTTGCTTCATAACTCATTCGCATTAATGCTAGTAATCCATTTACTAACAATATTAAAATTGGCTTATGGTCAACAGCTTGATGATTAATTTTGAGTATTAAAGTAAAAGCATATGAAAATGATGCTTTCCAAAGATTATATCCCAAAAATTCATTTCAGGAAAAATGAATAATTATACATAAATACTTTCAGTTAGGTATCAAGATAAGAAGATTACGGAATTTCATCCCGCCAATGAGAACGATCCTCTTCCTATAGAGAGATTATGAAAATTATCCTGAGACTATTTGATTACAATGATTCGGATTATTTTGCATGTTTTTGTCTCATTCGAAATGATAGCCGCGTTCTTATTGTGATAGCATATGAATGAAACGATATTCAATTCGTTAATATTTTTACGACAAATCTATAATACAAAATCAGGCCAAAAAGGTAAAGCAATTGGATAGTGCTGTAGATTTTTGTACCACATATGTTACAATAATAATATGCGTTTTTTGAAAATTCTTTCGAACCAAATTGTACGCTTGGCATTTGCTTGCTATTGAAAGTATAATTGAATCAGTAACCACAAAATTCATGGGAGAAAAGAGGATGGAAAAGATTTCAAAAGCCAAATTACTTCCTAGACCGAAAACAGCAATGCAGTATAGAAGAAAAGATACAAAAGTTACCGAAAATTGGACATGTACCATATTTGTGGGAGATTTTGTGCTCACCACATGTCTTTTCGTTTTGAATACAAAGAGATTTTAAAAACCAATATATCGATGTGAGTTCACTCGGTTCAATATTGAGAAACGAAAAAAATAAAACAAATTGTTTTTGATCATTTTTTGATTGTGGATTTTGTGGTTTCAGTTGAATGTAAATGTCACTTTGCAGACAAAATAACAGTCGATATATATTCATTTCAGGTTGTATCGAGAAAAAAAACAATTTGAGGTCGCACAAAAAATGTTCCAATCATCAAATCCTCTGAATATTGTTGCGTTAAGTTTGGAACGGATGTGAGAGAACGGAGACTTGAATTGAACAAAATTAAATGCAATTATAAAAATTAAACTGTCAAATGTGTGCAAACAAACGACAAACTTTCGTTATGCAGAACAGTTTGCAAACCAACCAACCAACCAAACCACCAACAAAGAATAGAAATAATGGACAAATGATCGAAACACATCGCAACTGCATAACCTAATAGACCCCAAAGTTTCTAGAGCAAATGGGGTGCGAGTTTTGTTCGTGCTTGCTTGCACATATATAAATATCGAACCGTACATACATGGTGGGTGCATGGGTTTATTTTACACAATATATGGAGCAACCCGTTTTCAACATAATCTCAGAATATTCCTTGATAATACCAGTTATTTAGTTCAACAGCACAGTTCTCATTCATAGAAATAGTCTTATTCCATCAGCCAGAGCATGTCAGTTTTGTCAGTTGTAATATTAAATAATAATATATTCTATGAGTGCGCACTGCGCAGGCATATGAGCCCAATACAAACTAATGTTAATATTAAGTTTGATTCGCATTCTTATGCTCACTAACGATACTAATATGCCGAAACGAATTTGTATACACATATTCTCTATCTATTTATTCGCTCAATCACTATATGTATTTCATTCAAATGTGAAAGAAGTAGAGTTAAGCGAATCTTAAAGTCTAAACTGCTTTGCTATAAGTTTCTTCTCAAGTGCTACTTTTTTTCATTCCATAAATTCAGTAGATCATTTTTTTTCTCTATCAAACCATATGTAATTGAAATTTATCCTGTTTTTCCCACTTTCATGAAATAATACGGTTGAAAAATGAAAAATAAATTACTCTAAAATACTTCGGATATCCACCACATAGCACGCCATTCAGCGTGTTTGCGCTTATATAAAACAAGATTTGGTGTATACCATATACCATATCAATTTCGAATGTCACGTTACACCATTTGTTTCTGTTCTGTATTTCTGTTTGCTATTTAACGCTCGACTGCACGTCACATATTGTCAATCATTTACGTCGGCCAGCGTTACAAATCAAATTTTAAAATTGCATATTAAATGAGCTCTCTCTCTCGCTCTCTCTCTCTTTCTTCATGGAATAGAAAATCTGCAATATTATTATAAGATAATCGCCAGTTCATGCATTGCTGTTATGTATTAAACATTAAAGCAGCGATGCATGTCTCTGAAAGCAATATGATATAATGTCATTTATCAATTTATCATGCTCAGAACGAAGTATTCGAAAACTGGTAAATACATAATGTCCAACACAAATGAAAGCCAGTGAAATTGAAGGTAGTGGATCGTCGCAAATTAGAAGTAGTTTGTTTTCCAACTTCACTTCTAATTTCCGCACCCGTTTTGTGTGGAATACAATTTCATTAATCTTCGAAACATCGCTTCTAATTTGTGAATGATTCTCATTTGTGAGGTTTCACTGTACTAGGATTGCTGAAACTTTGACAGTAAGCCTATTTTCATACTCAATAATATCGATTGCATTTTTTCATAGATCAAAAGTTTTAAGAGAGAACTTTTGGTAAAACTTTTTTGTGGTAAAATCGTATCAATGCCGTTATTTGGGCATTTTGTTCCAATGGATTGGTCACATAGAAGTTTTGACCAAAACCGTTGTTGAGAACAAAGTGTCTTTAGCCAACTTTTTACATGAAAAAAGGAGACAAATTGAATCTTAGTTGGTATTCGGAA